GGGTGTGGTGCTGCCCTGGCACTGTACTCTAGTGCCAGGGTGGACCCCTGCCGCACTGATGTGGCACTGCTCTGCCAGAGTGTGTGGCCCTGGCACTGTGGCTAGTGCCAGGGTGTGGCCCCTGGCACTGTCTCTGTAGTGCCAGGGTGTGGCCCACCTGGGGCCACCGTCTCATGGGGCCAGGGTGTGGCCCTGGCACTGTGTCTCTAGTGCCAGGGTGTGGGGCTGGCACTGTCTCTAGTGCCAGGGTGTGGCCCTGGCACTGTGTCTAGTGCCAGGGTGTGGCCCTGGCACTGTGTCTAGTGCCAGGGTGTGGGGCTGGTGTAACACTGTAAAAGTGTTTGGTTTAGTTGTATTTAATACATACATAGAGTACATGAGTCACAGACAGGGATTTGAGAAGGCGCCAAGTTGTCGGCCGGAGTTTCACACCTCTAAGAGTTAATGACCACCAAGTGACCTGAGGTCAGATCATGCGAATTTCACCTTACTTCTACTAATCTTATAATTGGAGCCTGGTAGCCTTCAAACATGCCGACGTTTAAGAAGTGGCTTGGTAGAGTGCCTGAGGCTATCTACTTGTGGGCGGAGTTAGTTACTAGGTTCCCCAATATATACTCGGAGAGTAGAGCATAGAGGGCATTAACAGAACAGCAGCCAGCAGAGGAGAGAAGACGGCCTAGCAGGGAGGCTGTCGGCCGGCAGGGCGGGACAGTCTCTGTCAACTATAGACCCCCCCCCTCTATCCAGCTATAGGCAGACACTTGGTGAGTTGAACATTAAGGTGACTTGGTCGTGTTTTACAAGTGTTGTGTGATGATCAGGGGCAGTCAGTTGTAGTGTTCTCAGATTCTTGGAGGATGACTCACTTTACATATATATATCTTGAACATTGCTAAAATTATGATACTTAGTATGTGAAATATAATTGAATTTATTATTTACATTGCCTTTAACTGTGTCCCCTAGAGTTGAGTTGAGGTGAGAAAGCCTCTGTGATTACTGGTTTCATGATTTAATGAATACATGATAAAGATGGGACATACTAATAATGACCTCTTGATAACATCTTTTGTGAAAATTGTGATACAGACAAGTTCCATTCCTTGTCTTGTAGGTAATGGTCTAGAATGGATGGTGGCAGCATTATTTCGTCCTCTACTATCTACCTCTTTTACTTCTACTATCTACTCTTCTACTTCTACCTATCTACTCCTCTCCCTCCACCCCTCTCTAAACTCTCACTTTCAGCTAATGACCCTCCTCGCTCCTCCCACCTCTCTACCTCTCACCCCAAACCCTCACTAATTACTTCACTAGTCTTCTCTTTCCTTTCGTGTCTCTTATACGTTTGTGGCAGTGAAATGTATTCTAGAGTTCTCTCTAGAGTTTCGGGTAGCGGATCCAGTTACGGCGCCTTGTAGTCTTAGCACCTAGGTAGTCAAATACCTAGGTTACAAGGTGTTGAACCAGAGAGGTTGCCTTAGGAACTCTGGAGGTGCTCTAGAATAGTTAGCTAACTGGAAGGTGGAATAATGGACAAGATAGAGCTATTTCCCCCACCCCTGTTACCCTGGCACTGTGTCTCTAGTGCCAGGGTGTGGCACTGTGTCTCTAGTGCCAGGGTGTGGCACTGTGTCTCTAGTGCCAGGGTGTGGCACTGTGTCTCTAGTGCCAGGGTGTGGCACTGTGTCTCTAGTGCCAGGGTGTGGCACTGTGTCTCTAGTGCCAGGGTGTGGCACTGTGTCTCTAGTGCCGGGTGTGGCACTGTGTCTCTAGTGCCAGGGTGTGGCACTGTGTCTCTAGTGCCAGGGTGTGGCACTGTGTCTCTAGTGCCAGGGTGTGGCCCTGGCACTGTGTCTCTAGTGCCAGGGTGTGGCCCTGGCACTGTGTCTCTAGTGCCAGGGTGTGGGGCTGGCACTGTGTCTCTAGTGCCAGGGTGTGGCACTGTGTCTCTAGTGCCAGGGTGTGGCACTGTGTCTCTAGTGCCAGGGTGTGGCACTGTGTCTCTAGTGCCAGGGTGTGGCACTGTGTCTCTAGTGCCAGGGTGTGGCCCTGGCACTGTGTCTCTAGTGCCAGGGTGTGGCCCTGGCACTGTCTCTAGGGGCCATGCTGACAGCTAGACACAACAAGAGAGACGAACAACAGTAGCAGACAAGGGGAACAAACAGGGCAATAAACGCCACTCACAAATATAGGACAATAACATGGTCAATAAAACTGTTGTTGTAAGACAAAGGCACAGGGCCACTTATGTGTCACCCTCCCCCCCCCCTGCCTCACCCCTGCCTGTCTCACCCCTGCCTCACCCCTGCCTTCCTCACCCCTGCCTCACCCCTGCCTGTCTCACCCCTGCCTCACCCCTGCCTTCCTCACCCCTGCCTCACCCCTGCCTCACCCCTGCCTGCCTCACCCCTGCCTCACACCTGTCTGCCTCACCCCTGCCTACCTCACCCCTGCCTCACCCCTGCCTGCCTCACCCTGCCTGCCTGCCTCACCCCTGCCTGCCTGTCTCACCCCTGCCTCCTCACCCCTGCCTGCCTCACCCCTGCCTTCCTCACCCCTGCCTCCTGTCTCACCCCTGCCTTCACCCCTGCCTCACCCCTGCCTCACCCCTGTCTGCCTCACCCCTGCCTGTCTCACCCCTGCCTCACCCCTGCCCTGCCTCACCCCTGCCTCACCCCTGCACCCCTGCCTGCCTCACCCCTGCCTTCCTCACCCCTGCCTCACCCCTGCCTGCCTCACCCCTACCTCACCCCTGCCTCACCCCTGCCTGCCTCACCCCTGCCTGCCTCACCCCTGCCTGCCTCACCCTGCCTGCCTCACCCCTGCCTCCTCACCCCTGCCTCACCCCTGCCTGCCTCACCCCTGCCTGCCTCACCCCTGCCTGCACCCCTGCCTGCCTCACCCCTGCCTCACCCCTGCCTCACCCCTGCCTCACCCCTGCCTCACCCCTGCCTGCCTCCCCCTGCCTGCTCTCACCCCTGCCTGCCTCACCCTTGCCTCACCCTGCCTGCCTCACCCCTGCCTGCCTCACCCCTGCCTGCCTCACCCCGGCCGCTCTGCCTGCCTCACCCCCCCTCACCCCTGCCTGCCTCACCCCTGCCTGCCTCACTCCTGCCTGCCTCACCCCTGCCTCACCCCTGCCTGCCTCACCCCTGCCTCCCTCACCCCTGCCTGCCTCACCGCTGTCTGCCTCACCCCTCCCTCACCCCTGCCTGCCTCACCCCTGCCTCCCTCACCCCTGCCTGCCTCACCCCTGCCTCCCTCACCCCTGCCTCCCTCACCCCTGCCTCCCTCACCCCTGCCTCCCTCACCGCTGCCTGCCTCACCCCTGCCTGCCTCACCCCTGCCTCACCCTGCCTGCCTCACCCCTGCCTCACCCCTGCCTGCCTCACCCCTGCCTGCCTCACCCCTGCCTGCCTCACCCCCTGCCTCACACCCCTGCCTGCCTCACCCCTGCCTCACCCCTGCCTGCCTCACCCCTGCCTCCCCCTGCCTGCCTCACCCCTGCCTCACCCCTGCCTGCCTCACCCCCTGCCTCACCCCTGCCTCACCCCTGCCTGCCTCACCTGCCTGCCTCACCCCTGCCTGCCTCACACCTGCCTGCCTCACCCCTGCCTGCCTCACCCCTGCCTCACCCCTGCCTGCCTCACCCCTGCCTGCCTCACCCCTGCCTCACCCCTGCCTGCCTCACCCCTGCCTGCCTCAACCCCTGCCTCACCCCTGCCTCCCTCACCCCTGCCTGCCTCACCCCTGCCTCACCCCTGCCTGCCTCACCCCTGCCTCACCCCTGCCTGCCTCACCCCTGCCTGCCTCACCCCTGCCTCACCCTCACCCCTGCCTCACCCCTGCCTGCCTCACCCCTGCCTCACCCCTGCCTGCCTCACCCCTGCCTGCCTCACCCCTGCCTCACCCCTGCCTGCCTCACCCCTGCCTCACCCCTGCCTCACCCCTGCCTCACCCCTGCCTGCCTCACCCCTGCCTCACCCCTGCCTGCCTCACCCCTGCCTCACCCCTGCCTCACCCACCTCACCCCTGCCTCACCCCTGCCTGCCCCCTGCCTGCCTCACCCCTGCCTGCCTCACCCCTGCCTCACCCCCCTGCCTCACCCCTGCCTGCCTCACCCCTGCCTCACCCCTGTCTGCCTCACCCCTGCCTACCTCACCCCTGCCTCACCCCTGCCTGCCTCACCCCTGCCTGCCTCACCCCTGCCTGCCTCACCCCTGCCTCACCCCTGCCTGCCTCACCCCTGCCTGCCTCACCCCTGCCTGCCTCACCCCTGCCTGCCTCACCCCTGCCTCCTCACCCCTGCCTGCCTCACCCCTGCCTCCTCACCCCTGCCTGCCTCACCCCTGCCTCACCCCTGCCTGCCTGCCTCACCCCTGCCTGCCTCACACTA